CATTAAAGACAATCAATAATGCCTTCAGGTGGTATGCAAAGAAGCAGTTTGAAAATAATGCGTGCCGAAATATTTATCATATTATCAGTGGCATTCATCACAATGCTTCACTTTATTGACGCAGGTGCGTATGGTCCTTGTTTGACTGGTAAGTGTTATGTTTTTTTTCCTACTCAGATCAAACTATATCTGGAATTAATAGTACTAACCAAAACATTGTGTTTCTTCTCTTTACAAACACAGAGATTACTGAGACAGTAACAACTACTCCAAGGACAACAGTTGATACACAAACAACAGTAGATACAAAAACAACGGACGTCACACAGGAAACCGAAGAAGTGATTGTGATAGAAGTGGTTTGAACTACAACGTAAAATTTTAGATAATTGTAAGTTGGTTGAAATGTATAATGTTGCACAGAAATATATCTCAGTGTTCTTCAAGTCGATTCTTCATTTAGATATCACATGTTTTTCAACAATTTTGTACATGATGATTACACACTAAAATGCAAATATTATTTCTGTGCACGCATAATTGTTTTCAATTACCTGCCGATTAGTTGTTGATTGCTATTAATATCTATTATGTACTGAGAAAATTGAAGTGTTATCAAGCACATACATGCAAAACTGACGATTAAGACAAGAGTGAATTATTAACGAACATGAGAAAAAATGGCATCATTCAGTGTGTGAGGGATTGTTCATTGATCCTATCTGTTTCTAGAATAGTGATCTAGTCAATAATTGTAATGTATATTTTACAGTCTAAAGTAACACGGCCAAAAATCAGTTTCTACAGGAGGAAGATTTGCAACCCAGAAGTATAGTTTTGTGAAACATTAATTCTTGCGAGTTGTGTATTTCAAAACGGATGCTTTTATTGTCGTGCTAAACGACTATGTCACCACAATCCACATAAAGAAGAAGAGAAGTATGTAAATTTCTTCTCAACTGACCTGATGAAGCTTGTTCTATCGGCATTCATGAGAATATTCAGTCTATTTTTCCACATCAATGACGCGAATTTACTCCATTCGAATGCGCCATGAAGCAAATCGATAGTGCAAAGTACTATTTGCAAATCGCACATGTGCACCAATAATATTATTATTAATAACAATATTGGAGTTCGATTATTGAAGAAACAATAAATTGAAGCTCCTACAAACATCATATATGTTAGAAAAGAGTGATCCATTTGAGTTATAATTTTGACGATTCAGATAGCCATTTGTTAGTGAAATCATAACATATACGCGTAGTAGGTAGACTGTCAACATGACTGGATTCTACGTTGTTTGGAGTCGTCTAACAGAACCTCTCTGTGGTTATTGGCCACACATTATTTTTCACCATTTACACACCGTTATTGATTTGTGATGAAATGTCTGTGATTTCTTGATTGTCTATCTTATTCAGGCAGAACTGAATTCGTATAAATATAGTTAAATTTTAAAAAAAGATATCTATAGGATGATAGAAAAGATTGCATTGCAAAGATGGATTCGAGAATAAATAACAAATGAGGTTACGTACTACGTACTGTCAATAAATAGTAGATTTCGGATGAAACGAAAGATCGGCAAAGTGCTACCCACTGTTGTTTTGTTGGAGTAGATTGATTTGACTGTTTACAACCATATAGAGAGAAGTAAATAGATTATTACTCCTAGTATATAAATAATCAAAACGCGTGAATCAAACTGTGTGCTTAGTTGAGTAAGAAGAAGTCCTCATAAGTACAACCTGGATATAGTGATAAGGAAGATAACATTTCAATCTTCGAAGTACTTATTGAAATCATTAACGTCTTTATAATTAGTTTATCTTTGGTGTTTCAGTTCACATAAAATTCTTTCTGTGTAGTTTTGTGATCTCTTTCTGTTAGTGTATACCACAATTCTTGCCTGCAACAATCATAAAACAATCTACGAAACTAATCAATCTGTTTAATAAAGCACACGAAGGTACTATGGAATATATGAAACAACGTAAATTCCATTTTCAGATGCTGTAATCTATCGAACATCAGATGTCGAACCACTAAGAAAATCGTATTGCAATAAAACATCGATTAGAGTATATCTCAATCTTAACAGCTTTTGTCCACTTATTTGAAAAAGGACGACTTGACGAGCGCAAAATTGGTGAATATCACGGTGTCCAGTGTATATTAATATACACATTCGTAGCTATAATTTCGTTCAAATTATTGTTAAACTTCATTGTCTTTAAACAATGCCTATGAACTGTTATGAATGGAAGGAATTGTCATCTAGAATAGCAGAATGGGTCAACTTATTACTGGAAATCAGAGAACCAATAGTGTTATAAAGTTCAGTAATTCAGGTAGTCAATTCAATTTGATACTCTCACTTAACCTACATGCTATTGGAAATCGTGTTTCATATCTAAAAACCTGCGGATAAAGATGAAATCTAATATTAAGCTATTTCTAAAGTTCACACTACTTCATCATTCAAATTCCACGTAATGGTATTTGACATAGTTGGCTACATTCTTCCTAAGTCAATAAATGATATACAATCGTTTGTCAGCTAACACACAATCAAAAGTTAATGGTCCGTTATTCAGCACATTTGACAGATTTCACCGCCATAATGTATGTTATCAGACGTGAGTTCATGTGGTTTGAGCGCCTTATATTGCTATTACTAATACTGTTACCACTAATTCTGCTAACATCACCACTTCTGGTACTATGACCTACAGTACTTTAATTTTATCGGTCCACTACATGGGTCTTATTCACCGAATTCGCTCACGCAAATACTAGAACCGGATGTAAGTTAACGGATTTATGAGTAGAGAAAAAATTATTTGAAATCACTAATTACTCCATCATATATTTCTACTACTGAAGAAGACATGTTGATATTCCGCTTGCAATAAGTGAATTGTGAGAAAGTCAACACTGTAATTATAATCACATTCATCAGTTTTATTTCACTTGAATAAATAAATAAATTCGGATAAGATTCTATTCCACATGTGTGCAAAAGTAAATTATCCTTATTTGTTCGCGATTTGTCGCAAACCAGAAAGTCTTGAATTATCTTAATCTAAAGCATGAATGTATATAAAATCATGACTCAGAGAGAAACGAGGTCGTAGAATTAAAAGTAAGAGAGGAATTTGTAGTAGTTATAGTTGTTCAAAGATCACGAAGGAAAGAAGCCAAATATTTTCAACACAGTCCGAATTGAAATACTTCTGATCGTGTTGAAGATATGTTAATTTAGTCCAGTTGTCTTCGTTGGAGACCTAATGAGTTTGTAGTTCGGTATGATGATAGGTTTGACAATTGTAGTACTTAAAATATGGGAGAGTAGTGTCGTGAACAATTGTATGCTTGTTGGTGATTTACATGTTTGAGTGTTTTGATAATTGGTCCATGGTGGATGAACCAAAACTTCTATATGAATTGAGTTATGTAATAGTGATGATAATCACATTCATAGTTTTAGTATGCTTCATTCAAATCCTAACTGACAAAGTTAATTGATAAACACCTTAATAGAAGAGAAGGACGTCATTTGTAATATGACGAGAATAACGGAGCCACAGTTTCATGTTGTCAGTTATATGAAACTGTTTGGTTTCACCAACGAAAATGTGTCATTTAATAAATTGACGTTTCATTCTGTCTACCTCATTCTTCTTCCAAGTACGTCAAAACAGAAAAGATCGGTAATCAAAATGTGATCCATATACTGTTTCACTGAAATTTACATTCACCAAAGTGCATAACAACTGACGAACTCATCATTATATGCACTCGCCTTAGAAGTCAATAACACTGGATTTAGAGACATTATTGGGAAAATGAATACAAATACACAAGCATCAATACATCGTAACACTTATATTCACATATAAACTAGAAATACACACAGGTCAAGGTAAACGTGACAACAGTAGAACTGAAATGTTTCCTCATTAGATTATTACCAGCCTTGAGTCAATTGACATTATTCTACGAACAACGGTAGGGATGTGTCAGTGTAGATGGAAGAACAACGAGCAGGAGATGATATTACGAATGACATTGACCGATATACTACAGATCATATCACATATGACTATCAGCAGCGCTAAACATTTTCAGAAATGACCAATTCTGAGTTTAAACTCAGATCTGTGACATCAACTTGAAAGGGCAGATTGATCTGTTGATTGAAAATGAGCAACGTAAATTAGCATAAACGAGACCCCGTGTTACTTCTTTTTATTTCACACACATTCCAAATACACATTAGTTGTCAAGGTCAACTAATGGTAGGACATTAATTGTTCATTATAAACATAGAACTTGCTTACAAAATATTTTCACTTGTAGTGCACCGCAAGAAGCCGGATCATATTTAGTAATCTATGGAAATCGATTAAATGAAGGTTCAGGTAAACGGAGTACAATTTTACATAAGCTAGTGAGAGAGAAAATTAACATCGTACAAAAGAGCATGACATTTTGGCACTACTCTAGTCCATAAAATGACTGAGGGATAGTCAGGGCAAAATGAAGAGTATGACAAATTGCCTTTTTGCATTTAAGCGGCTTGTTTTGACGAATGACTGAAGATTCCATCAACCTGAAAAGCCGTTTTCACAATTTCTTTTCTGCGTATTAAAGCTGTACAGATTTCAATTTTGTACCTCATTTCAATTTTGTGCCATTCTATCTATGAATATAGTCTTCTACATTCCATGTTTATCGAAACAGTTTGAATTTACTGACTTTCAGGCCACCTAGGTACATGTCTCATAATACTTGATGGCATTGATCGATTGCCCCTCTCCATGTATGAGTGTTTACACATAAACGTTAATTAGTCGATGCAGTGAGATGTGATGTAATCGCTCATATAATCTCTAGGTCATATTAGAGTTGAGTGCTCAGAGCTTGCAATCATGACCTGCATTGAGAGCACAATATGTATCCTCGATGGCTCCTAAAAGTCTATGTCATAGTCAATATCTCCATCATCATCATCATCATCATCATCATCATCATCATCATCATCATCATCATCATCATCATCATCATCATCATCATCATCATCATCATCATCATCATCATCATCATCATCATCATCATCATCATCATCATCATCATCATCATCATCATCATCATCATCATCATCATCATCATCATCATCATCATCATCATCATCATCATCATCATCATCATCATCATCATCATCATCATCATCATCATCATCATCATCATCATCATCATCATCATCATCATCATCATCATCATCATCATCATCATCATCATCATCATCATCATCATCATCATCATCATCATCATCATCATCATCATCATCATCATCATCATCATCATCATCATCATCATCATCATCATCATCATCATCATCATCATCATCATCATCATCATCATCATCATCATCATCATCATCATCATCATCATCATCATCATCATCATCATCATCATCATCATCATCATCATCATCATCATCATCATCATCATCATCATCATCATCATCATCATCATCATCATCATCATCATCATCATCATCATCATCATCATCATCATCATCATCATCATCATCATCATCATCATCATCACATCATCATCATCATCATCATCATCATCATCATCATCATCATCATCATCATCATCATCATCATCATCATCATCATCATCATCATCATCATCATCATCATCATCATCATCATCATCATCATCATCATCATCATCATCATCATCATCATCATCATCATCATCATCATCATCATCATCATCATCATCATCATCATCATCATCATCATCATCATCATCATCATCATCATCATCATCATCATCATCATCATCATCATCATCATCATCATCATCATCATCATCATCATCATCATCATCATCATCACCATCAAAATACCGTTAGATTCACCTCTAAATTGTAGAGAGTTATGAACAGTTTTCATCAGCAGAGAAATAAATAGAGTTTAGTGAATCAGTCAGGCTAATCGTCATCTTATCCTCTCATCTCAACATTTCCATACAACTCCTCGAGAACAGTTTACCATTTTGTTAGTAATAATTGTAACGCATTTTGATCAGATGGCAAGAATTCTCTCACAGTACTAATTGGTGAAACCATATTGATATCCATATGACGTGGAATTCATCGGAAAGCTTCCTAGCATAAATGTATTGAAATATGACGACATCCACATCAGAACTAAACACCTTCGTTTTAAACACTTGTTGTTACAATGATCAACAACATTGAAATAAGAATATCGCTAACAAATCCGAAATACTGTCATAACATCTTGAAAATATCTGACACAGTGCTCTATCGAAATAAGAATAATACTTAATGTGCTTCACTCATTTAACTTCGGTTTGATGATTTCAAGTTGCTTCTTCATACTCCGATTATGTGATAATATGATTTCTTATGTTCGCTATTGTCATCTGATCTGACGTGCATACTGTTTTCTTTTTTGATTGATCATTAACTGAGAAAACAATTTCATTTGCTTTGAAGAGTCATATATTTACTCAAAAATATTATATGTCGATATATTGCTTTTAAGTTGTTATTAATGCTGACGAAATCACTTATGCAGGTTACCCACACATCAGCAGTCACCAACCAACTCTTTTCTGGACAGTCACTTCCAATCGCTCTCCATCCTTTTCTCGTCTGCTTCCGAGTCCCTGTTCAGTGTGTTATTTGGCCTTACTCCTTTCACTTTCACCTCAGAATTCCATGTAGGCGCTTGCTTCACGATGCAGCAGAACTAACTTGCGTGTTGTTCGTGTTGAAACTTCTGGCTTTGACTGTGTTTTATCACTGGAAAGCTGTCTGGTAAATTTCGCTTATGTTCAGTTACTCAGAAGAATAAACGTTTGTTGGTTAAGTAGAGAACTACATTAGAATATGAAACATGGAAATTCGCAAAACGTTTTTCACAAAACTTCAGAATGTACATGTTCAACATTGTGATTATGAAAATGAAACCGACCAGCTAAATTGATTGAAAATTTCAACTGAGAAATAGCATGAATTAAAATTTCAAAGTCACAAAATGTCTATTTCGCTTATGGGAAATTTGAGGGTTCATAGAGTTGACGCGATGAAAGTATAGAATTGTCGACAGTACTCTTCTGTTTGTCTTCTTATCATTGCACTACCACGTCTTTAAATGTTGTTGAAATCAATATGTTTATATGATAAAATTCGCATATTCATCTGTCTTCTCACTTCTATCATCCTCGTCAATTTAAATCAAAGAATAATCGTTTGCTCTGTGTTTGATTAAGAGTGGAGACAAGTTATTGCAGATTGGATTGTTTGTTTTGTAATCTAGCGAGGGCTGAACAAGCACTATTAGAGTCCATGTCCGTCACACAGAGCAAACGATTATTCTTTGATTTAAATTGACGAGGATGATAGAAGTGAGAAGACAGATGAATATGCGAATTTTATCATATAAACAATTGATTTCAACAACATTTAAAGACGTGGTAGTGCAATGATAAGAAGACAAACAGAAGAGTACTGTCGACAATTCTATACTTTCATCGCGTCAACTCTATGAACCCTCAAATTTCCCATAAGCGAAATAGACATTTTGTGACTTTGAAATTTTAATTCATGCTACTTATCAGTTGAAATTTTCAATCAATTTAGCTGGTCGGTTTCATTTTCATAATCACAATGTTGAACATGTACATTCTGAAGTTTTGTGAAAAACGTTTTGCGAATTTCCATGTTTCATATTCTAATGTAGTTCTCTACTTAACCAACAAACGTTTATTCTTCTGAGTAACTGAACATAAGCGAAATTTACCAGACAGCTTTCCAGTGATAAAACACAGTCAAAGCCAGAAGTTTCAACACGAACAACACGCAAGTTAGTTCTGCTGCATCGTGAAGCAAGCGCCTACATGGAATTCTGAGGTGAAAGTGAAAGGAGTAAGGCCAAATAACACACTGAACAGGGACTCGGAAGCAGACGAGAAAAGGATGGAGAGCGATTGGAAGTGACTGTCCAGAAAAGAGTTGGTTGGTGACTGCTGATGTGTGGGTAACCTGCATAAGTGATTTCGTCAGCATTAATAACAACTTAAAAGCAATATATCGACATATAATATTTTTGAGTAAATATATGACTCTTCAAAGCAAATGAAATTGTTTTCTCAGTTAATGATCAATCAAAAATGAAAGCAGTATGCACGTCAGATCGGATGACAATAACGAACATGAGAAATCATATAATCACATAACTGGAATATGAAGAAGCAACTTGAAATCATCAAACCGAAGTTAAATGAGTGAAGCACATTAAGTATTATTCTTATTTCCATAGAGCACTGTGTCAGATATTTTCAAGATGTTATGAGAGTATTTGGATTTGTTACCGATATTCTTATTTCAATGTTGTTGATCATTGTAACAACAAGTGTTTAAAACGAAGGTGTTTAGTTCTAATGTGGATGTCGTCATATTTTAATAAATTTATGCTGCAAAGCTTTCCAATGAAGTGGTTCTGTGATTGAAATGAACAGTAATACAGTAGTCTTTAAATCATGTTTATTGGAAACTCCATTTTGATGCTAAATTTTAACAGAACTATGTATTTGTAGTGAAAATCACATTGAAAGTGGGATGCAATCAATGTTCATCTTCATCCGTTTTATGATTTTGTTAACAAATTCAAACATTTATAATCACTGAGTACATATTCTACCTCATGAAATAATAACAAAAATTAATTATCACACAATATTTACTGATAATAAAACAGAATTCCATCTGTTCATCTACTTAGTATCAAGTGTAATTGAACAGTTCAATTTCTCTCATGGTTGAAGTCAGTAAACTATTGAGCTTAATTCGGATGTCAATCAGTTTAGGGTTCCCACATGCAACAAGTATTCTGTTGAATAATATTGTGCATTTATCATGTTACAACCATCAAGTATGAATGTTTCGTACTGGAGAACAATATTATTACCTCGTCATTCTTTATCGTGCCATTTTTTCGATAAGCATAACTTGTTCTAATCATATGTAAGAATAGTGCGAATGTTAGTACACTGCATGAAGTTCACGTGATTGATCAACAATATTTCACATGAACGTATGAATTCCACGTCATAGGGACATCAATATGGTTTGACCAATTAGTACTATGAGAGAATTCTCGCCATCTGATCGAAATGCGTTACAATTATTTCTAACAAAATGGTACACTGTTCTCGAGGAGTTGTATGGAAATGTTGAGATGAGAGGATAAGATGATGATTGTCCTGACTGATTCGCTAAACTCTATTTAATTCTCTGCCGACGAAAACTGTTCATAACTCACAACCAATTCGATGTGAATCTAACTGCATATTGGTGATGATGATGATGATGATGATGATGGTGTCATAGTCTATGAGCAGTCACCGAGGAATATGTTGTGCTGCCAAAACAGGTCATGATTGCAAGCGCTGAGCGCTCAACTCCAATATGACCCAGAGGTTATACGAGCGATTACATCACATCTCACTGCATCGACTAATTAACGTTTATGTGTAAACACTCATACATGGAGAGGGGCAATCGATCAATGCAATCAAGTATTATGAGACATGAACCAAGGTGGCCTTAAAGTCAGTTAATACCAACTGTTCCGATAAACACGGAATGTAGAAGACTATATTCATAGATAGAAAAGCACATAATTGAAATGAGGCACAGAATTGAAATCAGTATCGCTTTAAAACGCAGTAAAGAAATTGTGAAAGACGGCTTTTCAGGTTGATGAAAGCTTCAGTCATTCGTGAATACAAACCACTTATAAGTTAAAAAGCAATTTGTCATACTCTTCATTTTGCCCTGACTATCCCTCAGTCATTTTATGGACTAGAGTAGTGCCAAAATGTCATGCCCTTTTGTACGATGTTAATTTTCTCTCTCACTAGCTTATGTAAAATTGTACTCCGTTTACCTGAACCTTCATTTAATCGATTTCCATAGATTACTAAATATGATCCGGCTTCTTGCGGTGCACTACAAGTGTAAATATTTTGTGAGCAAGTTCTATGTTTATGATGAACAATTAATGTCCTACCATTAGTTGACCTTGACAACTAATGTGTATTTGGAATGTGTGTGAAATAAAAAGAAGTAACACGGGGTCTCGTTTATGCTAATTTACGTTGCTCATTTTCAATCAACAGATCAATCTGCCCTTTCAAGTTGATGTCACAGATCTGAGTTTAAACTCAGAATTGGTCATTTCTGAAAATGTTTAGCGCTGCTGATAGTCATATGTGATATGATCTGTAGTATATCGGTCAATGTCATTCGTAATATCATCTCCTGCTCGTTGTTCTTCCATCTACACTGACACATCCCTACCGTTGTTCGTAGAATAATGTCAATTGACTCAAGGCTGGTAATAATCTAATGAGGAAACATTTCAGTTCTACTGTTGTCACGTTTACCTTGACCTGTGTGTATTTCTAGTTTATATGTGAATATAAGTGTTACGATGTATTGATGCTTGTGTATTTGTATTCATTTTCCCAATAATGTCTCTAAATCCAGTGTTATTGACTTCTAAGGCGAGTGCATATAATGATGAGTTCGTCAGTTGTTATGCACTTTGGTGAATGTAAATTTCAGTGAAACAGTATATGGATCACATTTTGATTACCGATCTTTTCTGTTTTGACGTACTTGGAAGAAGAATGAGGTAGACAGAATGAAACGTCAATTTATTACATATCAGACTGATGATAAAACCATCCGGTTCTAATATTCTGGTGACCGAATTTGGTGGATGGGACCGATGTAGTGGACCGATAATGCTGAAGTAGTATTGATCATGGTCCTAGAGTTGTTGATATTAGCGGAATTAGTGGTAACAGTATTAGTCATAGTAATATTAGATGCTGA